GCTACTCTCCATCGACATGGGCGATAAAGAGACCCTAAGATCCTACAATAGTCGCTACTGGGAGACATTCAATCAGATTGGGGACTGCCCCACCAATCTCGCCATTGCACAATATAAAAGAGGCCTTTCAGTCGGGAACAGACTAAGGGACTTAATCACCATGACGCCGCCCCTCACCAGCACATCAGGGTAGAAGAGGATGGCGCACGTGCCAAAGCAAAATCTGGGGCAACCACAGTACCAGAAAAGAAGACCTCAGCAAAGGTCAACACGGTAGATCGAAGTAACAAAAACAGACGTGGCAGACGAGATAACGGAGAAGACCCGGATAAAAGATGATTGAGAATCTGCACTGCCATAACCACGGTGTTCAAAAAACCGATATATCGGATTTTGAGCGAAATAAGAGATGAGCCTTTCGTCAAGTGGCCAGCCAAACTAGGGGAAGCGCAGAAGGACTATGACGAAAGATCACGGTGCACCTTCCATAAAGAAAAAGGACACCGCACTGAGAATTGCACGCCATTGAGACAACACCTGGAAGAGTTGGTGGCAGCAAGACACTTGGATAAGTACATTGAAGGAGGGACGCAACCAGCCCCCCAGGATCACAATAACCCCAACGGGATGCCAGTCGACGCCCCACCTCAAGGCGTTATCAATGTGATACATGGAGTCTTTGAACCTGAGCGTGTATGCGAGCTCAGGGGATCAATCAAAAAGGCAGAACACTTAAGAGAGATACTAAGTGCCCAACCTGCCACCAAGAAGGGGAAGACAGAGGCAACAAACGTCATGTCTTTTTCGGATAAAGACTTAGAACGGATATATTGCCCACACAATGATGCCCTGGTCGTCACTCTCCGAGTCAAGGATTTTGACATCAAGCGGATTCTGATTGACCAGGGTAGTTCATGTGAAATCATGTACTACGAAACATTTAAACAACTGAAGCTGCAAGACAAAGACTTGGCGCCTGCTGTATCACCGTCGATCGGCTAGGGGAGGTGGCTGGCCGACCACCTAAAGTGGCCGACGGCCAATTTTCTCCTTTTTTTTTTTTAGATATTTTCAGATCTTTTGAGCCAGCTGCTGAGCACTGAGGCTCATCTCCATACATGTGTAGCGACAAAAAGATATTTTTGATCATTAAAAGTAAAAATCTTATTGCAAAAGATATTAATTCCTATTATTGAAGAATAATAGTTAAAATGTTGTTCTGAAAAGTCAAAAATAGAGTTTTTAGTGACAAAATTTTGAAAATGAATAAGGAGCTTTTATTGTTTTCTCCCAAACAACTTTTGAATTAATATTATGTGATTGCTCACTACAATAAATTAAGATTTTAAAGATTAAAATTTAAAGATAAAAGTACAACACTTGTTAGGGAAGAAATGTTTTTATTGCCAGAAGTGTCATTATTTTTATCAACGAAATTTAAACATTAGTATTATCATTTTACGACCAAAATTTGTCTCCAAATTTTTTTTTTCGGAATCAAATTATTTTGTTACTAAAATGCATTTATTAGCGACATTCATAAATTTTGGTCACTAAAAGCTATGTTTTTTGACTTTACAAAACATCTTTTTAATGACTATCATCACAACAACATGAATTGGTCCTTAAATATTTTTTGCAATAAAAATTTCATTCTCTTATAAGTTGAAATGACTTTGAAACAAATATGAATGGAGAAGGGAGAACACTTACAGTTACAATCATTACTCAACTAAACTGCAGTTTTTGAAAGAGATAAATAGTGTTAGAGACCAAAGCAGTACTATTCCTTGGAATGTAGATAATAGGTCCTATCAATCGTATCTATTTTCAATGAAGTGTTGACACATAATGTGGTAGATTAAAAGTGATATAAAATGTGACAAATCTAACATTATTCATAGTTGATTCATTGAAATGAAAGTAAAATGAAATGATTATTTTACTAGAATTTTATTTTCACATAAGCACAACAATTAAGGGGTGAAAAACAGAACATGAGTCCCCATCAAGGAAATAAAAAAATAAAAAAAAGAAGAAAAAACAAAGTAGGAGATTGATAGAAATTTGTGAAAATTAACTACTAAGAGATAAAAGGTCAATCCCAAGGCTAGATTTCTCCTTTAATTTTTCAAACTAGTGTTCCATTTCTAGAACTTAAAAGGAAGATTACGGAAGAAGCACATGCCTCAAAATTTACAATGCATCCCAGTAATACCAAGATGTACCAAGATTTAAAGCAAAATTTTTGGTGGCTGGGTATGAAGAAAGAAATTGCAAATTTTGTTTCAAAGTGTTTACAATGTCAACAAGTAAAAGTAGAGCACCAAAGACCGACAGGTTTACTTCAATCCCTTCCAATCCCGGAGTGGAAATGGGAGCATCTGACTATGGATTTCATTGTTGGTTTACCGCGAATCCCTCGAGGTATGAATTCCATATGGGTTATTATTGATAGACTAACTAAGTCAGCTCATTTCCTACCTGTGAAGACTCAATACAACGCAAATAAACTAGCTACCATATATGTGGATGAAATTGTGAGACTACATGGTGTTCTGGTTTCAATTGTATCCGATAGAAATCCAAAGTTTGTGTCAAGATTTTGGCAAAGCTTACGGGATGCTATGGGAACAGAATTGAAATTGTTTGAGAGGGCAAATTTTTCTGGGCGAATTTTGAAGTGGGCAGTAGAGTTGGGACAATTCGACATCAAGTTCCAACCCAGGACCGCAGTAAAAGCCCAATCTTTGGCAGACTTCATCGCAAAATTTACTCCTGGAAGTCATCATATCTGCCCAGTCGACCTAACTGACACAACCGAACTAGAGATGGAAGTTGACGCCTGAATAGCGCAACCCCTAGTAGAAGGTACTCAGTCAGACTCCAAGACAGACTAGACTATAGACAGTAAGAAAGAAGCAAACCAAGCTACAACAAACCAAGACTCACCACAAAATAAAGACTTAGTTCAGTCAGATAGCGAGGGGAAGACAGCAAGCATGGACCTTAAAGAAAACACCGGCAACATTCTTGACCCCACGACATCATCCGACCCCTCCATATGCTAGAAATTGTTCGTTGGTGAGATGTGGAAGCTCTTTGTGGATGGGGCATCCAACCGGCATGGTGCAGGACTTGGCATAGTCCTCATCTCACCAGATGGCCTGGTTGTGGAGCAAGCAATCAACCTTGGCTTCCCAGCATCAAACAACGAAGCGGAATATGAAGCACTTCTAGCAGGACTCAAATCAGCATACCATATGAAGGCTACCGAATTAATGGTCTACAGCGACTCACAGCTGGTGGTAAACCAAATTTCTGGCGACTATGAAGCAAAGGATGACAGAATGGCCAAGTACCAAGAATTGGTCAGAACAGAGATCAAAAAATTCGAAGTAGTAAGGATAGAGCAAATCGACAGGGAGGAAAATAGCAGAGCAGACGAACTAGCAGGTTTTGCCTCAATGGCAGACACCTCCATCCCTCATCCACTACTGATCGACTACCTACCTAGACCAAGTATTGAGGACCCCAAAGCAGAAGAGGTATGTTGCACAGAACTAGGCCCCTCATGGATGGATCTCATCATACTATTCTTGAAAGATGGCGTCCTACCGGAAGAAAAGAAAGAAGCCAACAAAATTAGAGCAAAGTCACAGCGATTTTGTCTCTCCCCATCTTTAGCATTATACAAAAAGTCATTCTCAGGACCCTATCTAAAGTGTGTCCACCCCAGCAAAGTGGAAGCATTCTTGTACGAGATGCACGAAGGGGTGTGCGGAAGCCATCAAGGAGGAAGATCGCTAGCTTACAGGGCCATTTCACAAGGATACTGGTGGCCATACATGCAGGCAGACTCAGAGAAATATGTGAAGAAGTGCGAGAAATGCCAAAAATTTGCACACCAGATACATCAACCAGCAAGAGAACTCCTACCATT